AAAAAATAAAAGGACCAAAATATTTAGCATGATTAACGTTTGACTATATATATATATATATATATATATATATTCAATACTCTCTTTTTTTTAAAGTGGGAAACCCTGTTAGAAGCTATATATTCTTCCTTGAGTATAATTTATGTTTTGTGCAATTTAATTGAATCTTCTCATTAGAAATTGGGAGATTTGATTTGGTTGCTTTATTTTAGTTTTATGTCATTTTTATAGTACAATAAAATCTAATTCTAAAATCATTATTTTCTTATATTCATTTTGTATGTGGTCTTATATCATTTCCTCCTTTTTAAAATGCATGTAAATTGTTAGATGCAACCTACTACAATTGATCGTTAAGAATTCCCACATCAGAGTAGGGATAGGAATTTGATCTCCTTATATAGAGTTGGACAATCCTCTTCTCAGAAGCTAACTTCTTGGGTTGAGTTAGACTCAAGATCTATCCTTACATTGATTAAGTATAGTTTGTATTTTCTCTCTTCCTTGTTATATGACATCTTTTCCCTTTTAGCTATTTTTAAAAAGAATGTTATTTTACTATAATTATAAATAATTTAACTTTAAAAAATTCATTTTATCCTCAATGAAATGAAATTCTGTCACACAATCATCTAAAATTGCTTTAGACCATAAATTTTAATAATCTTTTCTAAAATATCATATTAAATAAACAAATACCACGTGAAATGAAACGGAGGAAATAGTATTCTCCTGATTCATCGAACACGAAGAGCCAAGGGGTAAACAGATGTGGAAATAATATTACATGGTCCATTACAGTTGTTCAAAATAAATGTCTTTAATTTCATTTTGGAAGATTGGGCCCTTAGTTTTTCTATAATAAGAAACAGTATTGATCTTTTAGTAGTTCTATTCTATCTAACTTGGTTGCTCATAAAAGACAAATTGAAAGAAGGCAGTTAGCTGTCAGTTATGTTGGTACAGATTACTGTATGGGGGTGAGCAAGAATTTTGCACCAGTTATATAATAACAATAACATATTCAATATAATTGTGCGAGTGGAATTTAGATAAGCGCTATATATATATATTTAAGGACACAAAAACAGTTTCCGATAGATTCATGGTTCAAAATTTTTTATACCAGTATATAATAACAATAACATATTCAATATAATTGTGCGGGTGAAATTTAGATAGGCTTTATATATATATTTAAGGACACGAAAACAGTTTCCGATAGATTCATGGTTCAAAAAATAATTTTCCAAAACAAATTTGAAAAAAAATACAAAAGTAAAATTAAAAATTATGATAAAAAAGTATTAACAATAAATAGTAAAGATAAATAAATATAAAAAGAAACAAAAATTATACTACGTACTAAAATTGAAGATTAAGATAATTTTAGCAAAATAATAATAACACTGATAGAGATATATATATAGATGTTCTAGACTAGAACTCTAATCTACCACTAGAAAAAGAGATGATTTTTACTAACTACTAACTATCTATCTTAATTTTTGACCTATGCTATCCTATATTTGGGTCAGGTCCAGGTGAATTATATTTTAAAATTAATTTCCCAATAATATATTCTTATTCACGCTTGTTAATTAGTAAAAGTTTGTTACTTAATAAAGATTGGTAAGATAAACTCTAACCCTTACTAATCCATGAGACTTTGTATCTTTTAATAAAAGCCCGCTAGACACTTTTGTCTAGCGCTATAAATTGGAGTAAAAAATAAAGTAATCCCTAGTTGTTGTATTAATCCTAAAATATCAGCACCAATCATATAGAAGGAGGTGGATTGGCATATCTTTGACTTCAAAATTTTAGCTGCAAAATAGAACTGAACCTAAAATTAATTCCAAAAAATAACATCTGACAACTAGTTATTTTTGCAAGGATTATAGTCATCAAAAAGTAAGCTTAGCTTCTTCTGTCATATTATATTTAATCATCTCTCTCAATTCTTTTTCAATCTACTTTTACCTCGCTTGTAACTTATCACCGCCTCTCACACCTCCTGACTATGACATTTATACTCCTCTTCTTCTGTACATGTTCAAACCATGCATCTCAGTTCCGCTTCATGCCTCTTGTCCACCAAAAGAGCTACTCCCTACCTTATTTGTATATCTCCGTTCCTAATCTTGTTACTCCTAGATAGTCAACACATCCATCTAAACATCCTCACCTCTAATACCTTTATTTAGTGAACATCTTGATCACTAACCAACACTTTATGCGTACAACATAGTCGATCTAACAACCGCTCTATAAATCTCAACTCAAGCATTACTTATACTTGATTATGAAGAAATAATATATTCATTGTTACAATTTCCCAACACAAAGCACCTAATATTTTCTAATAAAATTAAAAATCTATTGATCGATAAAAAAAATGGGACCTAAATCATATAGTACATAGGTTCAATAGCTTCACGTTGTAGCCTAACCAGCAATGTAATTATCTTTTTGACACAAATGATTGGTTCATTTAATGTCCACGCCACTTCCCCAACTGCTCAAAAGGCATAACCATGCATACAGCCTAGCACATTTTAAACCTTAATGGCTTCCACTGACGAGTGATTATGCCTATATATACCTTCATAAACTCTGAATGAGGAAGTGCACAAGTAACCTGACATTCTTTCATAAACTCTGAGTGAGAATCTTTGTGATCATAGTCATGGGTTCTTCTTCTTACAATTGGGTTGTAGGGTTACTTCTTTTCTTGATCATTTTCTTGGAAATGAGTGCTGTCACTTTTGGTGATGATCATAGCCTTGAAGAGTCAAAGGTGGGTTATAATAACGGTTGTAGATATGGTAGGAGAGGTTGTGCTGGACGGGGTGTACATAGTCCAAGGAGAGGTCGAGGAGGTGGTGGTGGTGGTGGAGGAGGAGGAGGTGGAGGTGGTGGTGGTGGTGGTAGAGGAGGGTCAGGTTATGGTAGTGGATTCGGAGCAGGATTTGGAACAGGAGGTGGTGGTGGAGGTGGTGGTGGTGGGGGAGGTACCGGAAATGGTTATGGATATGGTGGAGGATTTGGAGCCGGAGGTGGTTCTAGAGGAGGAGGAGGTGGTGGTGGTGGAGGAGGAGGAGGAGCAGGAGGAGGGTCAGGCTTTGGTAGTGGTTTTGGCGGGGGTGGAGGGTTAGGAGGATTGGGAGGGGGAATGGAAGGTGCGCGTGCTGGAGGAATGGGAGGCGGATTTGGTATGGGCATTGGTATAGGAGTTGGAGTTGGAGGTGGAGGTGGTCAAGGTGTTGGAGTAGGGACCGGGTTTGGTGGTGGTGGTGGTAATAATGGCCGAACATAAAATCTCTTGTAGCCTCATAGCTACACTTGGTAGTATCAAGATATTATGTTACGTTGTTTTGGTAATTAAGCAAATAAGTTTGAATTTACTAGCTTTTGCATGCATTGTGTTTTCCCTAATTCCCATTATTGTATCATCCTCATATTAAGAAAATAAATAAATTCATTGTTTTTCATCTTGCGTATATATATATATGTTTAATTTCTTCTTTATGTTTTGATGAAAGAGTAATCAACACTCGATCCTATTTATGACAAGTATTTCCTTTAATTCCCATTATCATTATCAATTACTCCTAAAAGCTTTAATTAGGTAAGTTAAATAGCTAGCTCAAGTTTATTCCTTCTATTGGAATTTGAAAAGTATAAGTTAAATCCACATTGCAAGTAACGTGTTTTTTTTTTTCCATAGAGAAGTATGAGAGCCAAAAAATTTACTAATATAATACAAAATATAAAGAAATAACTAAATTCACAAATAAGTTAAAAAGGGATATAACATCTACTGTATATACATTAAAAAAATTGATCTATACAAGAATTGACGTAGTGAATAAATCTCACCCAACCGTTCAGAGATTTTGGTAGAATTTTATAAGTCAACTTGGAAATGGTAGACATTCTTAAAATGTATAGGCAAAAAATATCTGGCCAAAAGATTATACTTATTATTATTATAAATATAAAAATCAGCAATTACTTAGAAAGTTCAAGCTAGCCTCTCTCTACCTCCACGAGTGAGATAGGGGTAAGGTTTGTGTACACTTTTTCCTCCCCATATTCTATATGTAGAATTACATTGGTATGTTGTTGTTGTTATTCTAGCTAGGTAGCCTTTACATCGACAAATAAAATCGAAAACAAATTAAACGGCAGTACAATTTTCACTTTATTTTGTAGTCTACCAATTAGTAATGTAAAATGGTAACATTACACTGAATAACAACGTAATGAATTGCCAAATCAAAGTGAATAGTCTCAAAAGTTGCATATCCACGAGCAAGTCTAAATTTTCCAGTACCACCAACAATTGCCACTTCTCTTACTCTTTCAAATTGAGGACTAGCACCTTGAATTTCCAAAGTGCTACCTTTATATTCATTATTGGTGAAAATAATCGATATTAGCACATGAGAAATTTTGCCATCCAACGCAGACGTAACATATATGCCCTGAGCTCTAGCGATTTCCGCGGAGTTTTTATCGAAGGCTTGTGTTATTGGATCATCAGTAACGAAAACAGAACCAAATTTGGCAAAACTTAGAATACCATGATCTTGATGGCCTGTTATTTGTAGCACAGTAGCATTTGGACCACCAGACCAATCTTGAAAATATAGTGTCATGTTTGTTTCTTTAAGTTGGTCATGTAATATGGCCTTTGAGGTTATGAAAATTGTTAGAAGAAAAATGAGGGATAGCTTGATTGAATTTGTTGCCATGGGGTGTGTCACTTTTGATTCTTGTGTTATTTTGTGCTTTGATTTTGGTAAAATTGAGTTGGTATTTATTATGCAACTTGGGGGTGGGGGGGTGGGTAATTGTTTCAAGAACAACGAATTTGGTGTATTTTATGTTCCATCGGTTTCAACTTATGTGAATCTATATATTTATTTTTTTAGTTTATTCAAAATGAAATAAATAAGATAATTTAAAGTATTCATTTTACCTTACTGAAAAGCGTTTATAATCGTACAAATATTATGACATATTTAAGATCAAAAGTTTCAAATATTTTTATTTTTTGGGAAAATGCATAAGTACCCCCCAGCCTATGCCCAAAATCCCTGAGACACACCTAACATTTACTAAGGTCCTATTAACCCACCCCCACCCCCCGAACATATTTTATATATAATTTTTTACCCCTTTTCGGCCTACGTGGCACTAACTTGTGGGCCCAGCGCGTGTTGACAATTTTTTCAAGGATAGTGCCACGTAGGCCGAAAAGGAGTAGAAAATTAATTAAAAAATAAGTTCGGGGGTAATAGGACCTTAGTAAAGGTTAGGTGTGTCTCATGGATTTTGGGCATAGGCTAAGGGTACTTATGCATTTTCCCTTATTTTTTTCATAAATTCGGTGTTCGGTCAAATAAATTGACAGAAATTGAAATGAACGGAATGTTTTATTCAAACTTTGAAAATGTTGTTTGAGAATATGATCGTTTCTAAGAATTTTATAATTTAAAGATTATTGTGTCAACATCTCAATGATTATAACTAAGAAAAGCAATTAGTGACAAATATAGAATGGTATAGGTTCGATACTCTCTTTTGTTTTTTAGTGGGAATTCTTATTTTAGATAGAATTTAGAAAGCTAGTTATTCTCCCTTTCTTTTTCACAAATAAATACCCCCCCCCCCCCCCTTTAGGTTTTACTAATTTATGTTTTGGTCCAATAATTTAATTGAATGGTACCACTTTAAAAAATGCATTTAAATTGTTAGGTGTAAACCTACTACAATTGATTATAATTTATAGTAATTTCTGTACTCATAATTGAACAACAAAGGCACAGAAAGATGTGGGAATAGTTTTAGATGGTACATTACAGTTGTTCAGAGTAAATGGCTTTGATTTTGGAAGATTGGCCCTTGTAATTACGTCGTTTCCTTTGATGTTGACATGTTTCACTTGAGCATAGTATTCATTAAAAATAACATCTGAGTTTTACAAAGGAATAGAATATTAATTAAACAACAGTCAGACTATAGTGAATATGATAAGTTACACTAAATTGTCTATCTTTAAAGAAACTCATTTTGGTAATCAATTTCGGGTAAGAAAACTGTTAGTATAAGCTAGAGAAAATGGTCTAAACACCCCCCCCACCTTATACCCGAAATCTCAACTACATACTCTAATTTTACGGGTGTTCTATTACCCCTGAATATTTTATTTGTCTATTTACTACACACTTGACACTTGAGTGCTGCCCAGTCCACATAAACCAAATAAATTGTCTCATGTGTTTGCACGCGTGGGTCAGGACCCACTTCAACCCCCAATTCTTGTTTTCTCTCCATTTCCCTCCTAAAAACGTAAGAAACCCTAAAGAGAAGTTTTTCGTCTCGTTTTCTCCTTTTGAATCGAAGCATTTCTGGTGATGATCGAAGAAATTTTGTGTGTATTCATCCATACAAAGCTTATTCAAGTTTTCAATTGCCATTTTTAACGAATTTTGAGAAAATTCAAAATTCAAATTAGAGACCCTGAATAAGAAATTGGAGCAGATTACAAATCCTAACTTCAAGATTTAAAGTAGAAATGAACATAAACAATTAAAACCTACCTTAAATTGAAAGAAAAACGTGAAATTTTTAAAAAAGGAATAAGGGTTAATGGTGGGGAAGAAGGAAAAATGGTTTATTTAACTTGGGGAAGATGACCATTGGAGAAGTACACTTTTTTCGTCAAAATTTAAGGCTATTGCCTCTTCTCACGCACCTAGATAAGGTGTTCTCACCTCCTATGACAGGTCAGCACTCAAATGTGTAGTAAATAGATAAATAAAATGTTCAGAGGGAGTGATAGAACACCCGTAAAGTTGGAGTATGTAGTTAAAATTTTGGGTATAGGTTAGAGGGGCTTTAGACCGTTTTCTCTATAAGATAAGATGATATTAATCAGTTATATAAAATATGAATTTGACTATATCTTGGTAGCATATCTAAAATAGTCATATTCAATTAATATTTTTTTTATTTTATTAATTCAATTAATAAAGAATAACGTGAGAGAAAATAATAATAATACGGAACTACTAAGATAAGATAATCATAGGGGAATTTTTCACAAATAGCCACTATAATAAATTTAATTATGCTTCATAGCTATAGTTTGCCTATTTACGGGTTGTAGCTACTATTTAAACTACCTCATTTGTATAATACGCATATTTGTATAATTCGCGGGTTTATATAATGCACGGGTGAGTTTGTATAATTCGCGGGTACGTTTGTATAATTGAGCTATTTTGGTATAAACTCAAAATGATGAATTTATACAAACACAAACATCTAAACTTTAAACAATTATACAAATTATATTATACACATTCCGAATTATATAAATGTGCAAAATATACAAATTCAAAACTCCATCCCACGTAATTATCAAGAAATGTTGGTTGCGAGTGGCTTGTAATTAACTAAAACTATAACTATGATGACTAATTAATTAGTATATAATTACTTAACCATATAATTTTCCCATAATATAATTAGTCATAGAAATCATAAATTTGAATATTTGAGTATATCCTGCAATATATCTAACATATTCATACTCAAGACAACACATTATTAAATACGATAATGAAGGATTACCAAAAAAAACAAATTAAAGAACAAGAAAACAGATTGACTAAGAGCCCAACTTCCAAACTACCATTTAGTCTAATGAAAGGTTCTTGTTTCAATACAATATTTTTCTAATTATAATTCCCTACGGTATTAATGTGTTTACATAACTAAATAGGGGTCAAATTTAAAGTAGTTGACCCCAGGGGCGGAGGTACACTAGGCTCAGGGTGTCCAATTGGACACCCTTCATCGGAAAATTACTTCGTATATATAAGTAAAATTATACTTTAAATGGTTAAATAAGACATTTTGGACACCCTTAAGCATACTAAAGCTTCTTAGTCCAACGGTATCATGGCCCAACGCGAATTTTTATAAATGCGCGCACGCACGGGTTCGAATCCCAGTTGCTACATTTGTTTTTACATTTTCATAAAGCTCCTAATTAATTTCTCATTACAGTTAATAAATATGTTATTTTTTCAACAATTCAAAACTCATATAATTTATTAGAATAATAATCTCAAATTAGAGACCTACAACTTAAAAATATAACAAAAAAAAAAGCATAGTAAACATTAAATTTTAATCATTTTTTCTTTTCACTAAAATTTTAAATAAAATTTAAAAGTAATTATTTAATTTAAATTTAATAAGCAAATTCTCATTTTTTTTTATAAAGCTACTAAAAGTGAAAAAGGCTCGATATAGAATTTCTTTTTAGAAAAACTCGTTCGATTTTACTCTTTATTTTTCATATCTTGTTGTTAATTCACCAAAGGTTGGTGAAATCTTGAAGTATAAAAGTGATTTCATTATAAACTGAATTTTCTCTTTCTCTTTTTTCTTTTTCGTTCACTTCCTATTAAATAAACATGAAAATTCAAGCTAAATTTTACGTGGTTTGATTTTAAAAATTTTAGTATAATTTTTAATTAAAAAAATAAATTGTTAATGTTACGTAGTTTGATTTCAAAATTTTAGTGCACCCATCGTCAATTTTTTTTTTTTACCTATGCGATTCGTGGACACCCTTCGTGAAATTTCTGGCTACGCCACTGATCATAGCTATAGTTTGCTATAACTACCTCTCGTGACTAACATTAACTATTAATTACATGGGTTGACTTCGAGTTGTTTAATTAGCCACATTTGTATAATTCGCCACATTTGTATAATTCACAACTAGCAATTGTTCTTGTATACGATGGTTTATATTTGTATATGACGATGATTTCCTTTGATTTTTCAGTTTTGTCACCATATACATTCAATCTTTTTGTGTATAGCCTTTTAAAGTTTGTATAAATATGTAATTTTCAGATTTTGTATAATTAATTTATATAATGTAATTTGTATAACTGTTTAAAGTTCATATGTTTATGTTAGTATCAATTTGTTATTTCAAGTTTTATCATATTTGTAAAATTCCAGACTTTATATTACGCAATTATACAAAAATACACTAATTATACAAGCGTAGCCGCAAATTATACAAATGAGATGTGAATTATACAAACTATTGCCCTCTCTCGCTCGTGACTCTCCTCCCTCTCCCAATCCCGCTTGCCATATATACAAATGCATATGTATAATATACAATTATCTAACCGATATACGTATACAATTCAGCTCTCTCCCACTCTCTGCCCTCTCTCGCTCGCCTCTCTCCTCCCTCCCCAATCTCGCTTGTCATATATACAAATACATATGTATAATATACAATTATACATATACACTTCACCTCTCTCCCCTCTCTCGCTCGCCTCTCTCCTCTCTCTCCCAAACTCTCTCGCCTCCCTCCTCCCTGTATATAACATGTGTTGACACCTAATTTTGACACTCCCCGATAATAATTAATTTTGAGCTTCTTAATTTTCAAATGATTTAAAGTAATTAATTTTAGAAATTTCGAAAAAAAATATAATAGAATAATTTTGACGAGTTATTTCAAATAGTTTGTCACTTGTTATAATTTTTAAATAATAATATGTCTTTTATATAATTATGTATATAATTAGTGCATTTTATAAATATTGGAAAATCGTTCTACAAAAAGTATTTTTGTTTAATTAGATTATTTGGTTAGTTTGTTTAGTTATCTAATTAGTTACTAATTTTGAGTTTAATTAGTTAATTTATAATTAAGTTAATT